ATTTCATGAGGAGGCGACACCTCTTAGTGTAAGGGAAAATAGAGATTATTGGAAGAAGGAATAGGAGCAATGGAGACAAAAGTGGAAGAATTTTTACAAAATTACGCGATAGCATTGGACAAGTACGGGTCTTTGAGTGAAAAAGAAGTTGAAGACTTCGAACAATACTCGAACAGGGCAGAGGCCGTACTTTCTTCTTCGCTGGACTACATTGTGCTCTTAAAAGGTAGACTGAATACGTTTACGTCATACCCGGGAACACGTTCGGTGCACATAACAAGTAACAATAACGTTGAACAGGAGGGTGCGCAAGGGGTTAAGAAAATGGAACTACCAACACTCCCAATACCAACCTTTTATGGAGATTTATGGGAATTGGATAATTTCTGGACCTTATTTGACGCAAACGTAAATTCGAAACCTCTACCGGAGCCCTTCAAGTTCAACTATTTAATCAAGGCTCCGAAAGGAAAACCCCTTCAAGCAATATAGAGATTCAGAGTGTCATAAGAAAATTACGAAAAGGCTGTAAATTTCTTGACAACGAAATACGGGGACAAAGAACAATCAATAATTCGGCTATACGAGAGGCTCGAAAGGCTACATTTAAACTCGCCATCCATCAGAGATCAGGGAAAGTTGCTGGAGCAGATTCAAGCGTTGGCACAATTACAAGAAAATAATGAATATGTCGATAATTAGTGCACTATTAAGCAAGTACTTTCAAGGTTTTCAAACAAAATACAAAGGAAGGTGTTGGAACGCAAATATACGCAGGCGGAAAACACCTTTGGAATGGAAACACTTCTCAAGCTCTCGAATAATTCGTCACTACAAAAGAAAGGTTTCACTTTTTACAAGAGAAGCGACTCCTAAGCAAGACCCTGCATCCCGACATCTCTCTAAAGAAAGGAAGAACTGATTAAATGGATCAACAAATGCATTACTGTGGTCAAGATCATAAAGCCATCGCATGCACAAAGTACACAACGCCTCAATCGCGATCCCACTACCTTCGAGAACATAAACTTTGCCTCGTCTGCGCTTCGTTACAACACACTTCAACAGTATGTAAGAAACACATGTGCTTCATATGCCAAGGACCTCACCACACCTAA